ATGAGAACCGTATGTAGCACTTTCAAAATTGGAATGACATTGAAATTAATGGGACTTTGAATATTTCAATCTACTACAAAAATGAATGGGACTTAAAATGAATGTCAAAATTCCATGCGTACCACAACAGCTTGTCGGAATAATCCAAATGCCATTAATGTTGACAATCTTATTATCTTATACGATAATTTTAATTGTATGTCTCTTAGTGCTCTTATATTGTAAACTGTATATTTCCTTAGAATTCTTTAAATAAAAGACAATAAAACGGTACATATGCGTTGTTCATTAATCCGATCACCACCTTCCTCCCAATTCCTATTACCTTATTTCTTCTTAAAAGAATCTGTATAAATAAGTACAATAATAAGCATATAATTAATTATTCTTAATAAAAATGATATTTTAATTTATTCTTGTATCCACAACCTCGAAATTTGTGAAACCATAGTCTCGATTCATAAATTAATATCAATATTCTAAAAATTACATGAATTGGTAACGTATACGTAAGAGACCCCGTGTGTGTGAGATGTACTGTGTAATAGCACCGACTAGATATAGGAGTCGGTGATACGACCGTGGTCGATACTCACTCAATTCGATACGAGTACTTTTGTTCGATACCTACTTGGTATCGTAACCACAGGTATCGAAACCAAAAGTACTTGGTATCGAAACAAAACTATCGAGTAATATACTCGTATTTACTTGTGTCGATTCATCCCTACCTCCAGTCGCTTTCTCCCCTCTCTTTTCAATATACGAGCGAGAGAGGAATGACTCCATTGCTACTTCTGTCCTTCGGTCTCGCTTCATCCCTATCATAATACCGCGCAGTCTATTATACAATATATCTATGATACGCACTCCATGAATTTAACTGTAACGACATCCAACGGAGAAACAGTTTATTAATCGGCTAACAGCTTGAGCATGTTGTCATAGATGGCACTAGGGATAGAAAGCAGATTGTCCAACTATTTTGACCATCGCTGTACTATATACTCACGTGTACGCGCGCAATTCGATAGTAGGGGGGGAAATAGAAAGAGAACAATGTAATAAACGGGTAGATACGAAAGAGAGAACAGTATAGCGTCAATGGAAGAAGGAAAGGGCGATGCAACGAATTTGTGGGTAGAACGAAGAAGAATATACCAAAGGAGAGAGACAGAGACAGGGGATGCTCGCCGACGTCACAAGCTGCAGCTTCAAGAAGCTTTAAACGAGAGTAGCAGTCTGTTGAAGTCTGTTCTTCATACCTTGCACTCGCGGTGAAAACTAACGCCGACAGTCTGTATCCCGTGACAGTAGCTTGTAAATCGTCGCGTGGAATGGATCGGTGTTTTCCCTCGGTGCATGTATCAGCACAAAATTAAATAAATAGTAACACCAAAGAAAACTTCCCCTTCGACGCTCGTGTATTAGCGTCCGAACGAATGTAAACGGTTTCTCCGTCAGCCACCCGAGGCTCCGTGTGTTCCCTGTATTACTTGCCAAGCGATCTAACCAAGTGTCGAGTGTCAGCGCACCATACAAACGCGAAATGGTGCTCTCGGAATGCCACGGGTTCGTCAAGTATGCATTGGTCTGCATCAATCTCATATTCTGGGTAAGTTCATTTCGCGAGGAGCATATATTTTCTACCACGAATAATCGTGTAACGATCTCTCATCTGTTGCTGCGCTTCTCCCTCTCTCCGTTCCACAGAGAAACTTGTACAATTTAGCTCGAATAACTTTCCATCAAATTACATCCATATATCATTGCTATTTTCACTGAATTTTACAATGTCAACGGGGGACAGTTCTGTTGAAAATAACGGAATGTAATTTTTCTGCTGGTGACTTCATAAAGTTCTCCATTGATCGATAAAATTATGCATTGTACTTTTCGTGCGATGTGACGAGAAGGGGTGGCTTTATTCATTAGGGGACATAATGTAGCGAGCGTGCCACGACCGTTATGAGTATGCAAACGAGTCGTATGATAATTTATGTGCAACTTGGTTCGTTAAGTTTAAGCATTAGGTCGTTGCTATGGCTAGAATATGGTGATAGCATCCCTTGTTCTTCTGTAATAAATTAGAATAACAACTGATGAAGGTTGAACAAATTATTGTGTATAGGGACTACTTCTTTCTTGATGTAAAAAAGAAAGTATCATTGAATATCAAGACTGTTGCAACGACCCGATGATACGAAGGATAACAAAGTATCCGCACACACCCACTTTTTCCAAAAAATTCCTCGTTTATGTTGTAAAAAGTTAACTGATAAAAGTACACAAACGTATATGTTTTTAAATCGTGCACGTTTTACTAAAGTATATTTTCTAATTCTGTTCAACATATTTATTATAACATATAGTGTGGAAAAACGATTTTCATCCGTTACTTACTTGTGAGTTCGTGAACATGAATGCTTACAGCAGGAGTCTTCGGTTCATTTAATTAGAATTTCAAAAATATCATTAGAATCTAAATAGAATATTCTATTCGCTGTAATGCATTTTTTATATCACCTCATTTGGTCTGTTACAACAAATTTTTCGACAGAACATTCAACGTTGGCCAGCATCACTCGTCACTTTATTCCGCATGACTGTACTGCCCTGTTAACCTCTAATTTATCTTAAAACGCGGACTTGTTCTGTAGATAAATGGAACACGGTCTGAACTAATCGCATAATTAGATAAATTAATCAAGATCCACATTAAGAACATTCGTTACTCAGCGCGCAACGCAATCAAAAGTAACGTCAACTTCTCGTTTTTTCGTGTCCTCGACGAATTAATTGAAACAAATTCTTACAACAACCAGCTAATGTTTCGTACAGTGAAATTGCAATTTTACCGTATATTTTTTAATATCTCACTAAATGTCAACAATACCCTTCTGGACTGAAATTTTAAGATTTAAGACAGTTTCAAGATGTATTTGTTTTTTTTATTCACTGAAAAAGTGAAGTAAAATGGAGTGAGGGTGGCGACTTCCGGTGGGCGAGCGTGACCTTTAGGGATTCTTTTCTATCTCGTTTTACCGTTTTTCCTACCTAGCAACAACGGCGATTCTAGCCTGGCTCGATCGATTGCATCTGGGTGTACACGAGCCTTTTCCAAATCTCTACCTTGTCCTTTACAGAATCCATAGAACGCGTCGCCAACGCGTACCAGGCACACCCTTTTCCGCAAACATCTCGAGTTTGTCAGATTTTCTAATAATTAAACTATAAAACACATGGCAAAACGTGTGCAAAACTATCTAATTCCATTCTTGCTCTCCAGTAAATCTACGAAATTAAGAAAACACTATGTCTATTGGTATACTTAGGGTAAACCGTATAGGTATATTTAGGGCAAAACTGAAGCAGTGCCGTCCATGGAAAATTAACCCTCTTGGTTACCTTACAATTTTTCTGTGTACCATCTAGAAATACCTTAAAAAATATACGCTCTGAAGATATTTATTCAAATTGACACATTCTCTCCAGAAATAAAAATAATTTTTTTTTTTTCATAATTTATAGTGAAGTGTATATTGTATTACAAAAAAAAATATTGAAAGTATTATAGTCACGTCACTTTCTGTGTCAGAATTTATAATTTATATTTCGGCTTGTGGGTAATAAGTAGACTCTGGATTTGATGCATTTATAACCCGTAGGGCTTTGTGAAATACAATAAAAGACAAAACTTTCATCGCATCCAATGATTTTTCTATTTTAATCTGAACCCAATAAGATACTTGAGAGCAAAAATAAATTTCTACATATGCTCTTGTCTTTACAAATTACTTTAGAAAATGTTATTTTGCATAAAAATCCGCAGTCTAGTAATAAGAGTGGGTTAAACAGTCTGCTTTTTTCCATCACATTTCACGTCTTCGAACGACGGTCTGAGGTGCCTCTCTACGAGGTTAAGAAAACGTATTCTCGTAATCGCGTGCGTTGACTTGTTGCGAACCCTCCTTTAATTAGCATCGTCGCAGTTTTTTCTGTCGCGGAGCCACGTGACCTCGAGAGGGCACAGCTGAATCGATTGCATCTGGGTGGCCGCGCGATATCTCCCGTTGATCGTGTATATTTGCCCTAAATTTCGGTGGATTTACAAGTTCCGTAATCGATTCAGCGGGACGTCAACGTCGTACGTTGAATCACGTTTTCTCCATCTTTCGTTCCCCAAGTGTTCATCATTTTTAATAATATCGCGGAAACTAGGAACTGAGGTAGTGACTCAGATTCCTTCGAATCGCGTCGATCGAACGCAGCCTGGCTTGGGGGGATCGGGAGTCAACAATTTGCTGAAAGATTAACAATAGCGCTTGTGTCAGCATCGCGCAACAAGCGTTGCGACTAGTTCGAAAATGTTGAACGGGCATATAAGTGCGTTTAAATATAGATTTCCAGTCAGAAAGCGAATATGTTCTTCCTACGAGACCGCATCCTACACTACACCCCGTTCGCGGCCCCCAGAGTTCACTTCTGTCGCGTTTCGCGCGATCTTTCGAGCGATCACGTTCGATATGTCACAGTAAAAGTTTTCATTCAGTAAATGTATACATTTCCTAGTGATCGTATGCACTTACTAATCTGGTTAGTAAATATGTATTCGTTTTTGTAAAAAATTTATACTTTTCTTGACTTCGTAAAAACAAACAGGGTTTCGGATTTTCCACGCCTTTAAGTGTATCGGTGGCAAGTGCAGCATCCAGGGACAGCAAACTATTCGGAAAAAGTAGCAAATGTCACATTTAGCGGCTGGTACCCTCAAGGGTATTACATACCACACATTACTTAATAAAATTCAAACACTATGGTACTTGGACATTACATTTCAAGCAGAGACCAAGTTCGACCACATCGAAGATGTAGATACTGAAACATTAGAATGTGATCCTAGAGGATATTAACGGAAATGAGACTCGGAGGAATCCAATATGGCGGAACCGTCCCGCCTGCGCGGGAATGACCGATATCCGTGGAAAAATTGCACACTGGTCCAAGATATGTCAGTTATTTCGTTTCTTCGTGGAATAACTTCTGAAAGTAGAATAGCGGCTAACGATGTTGAACTTGGCATACTTGGCGTCGTATAAAGCTGCCAAATGCTTTCACAGAAAAGCCGTAACACGGCCATCCCACCCGGTCTTCTATTTTCTATCCCATGATTTGATACCTTGGGAATCGGATTCGCTAACTGTCGTAAATAGACGAAATCATTTGGGAAACCAACAGGCAATTTTACATTCCAAGAACACTAAACAGAAGGCATTGGCCAGAGTTTTTACCCCCGCCAATTTACTAAAAATATTTTTCCGTTTGATTGGTTTTTTTCCCGCCATTTTGTGACTTTATCCTTTTCTATGATACACCCTGTATAAGACAGAGCCGTAAAACGGGACGTGTCCCGTGATTCGTTAATCGAATTAACACGCAATCTGCTAATGAGTATTCCGTCGAGCAACATGGAAACGTATATTTCCGTCGCCTGAAAGTGAGATCACGACGCGGGAAACGGTTACGGAGATCAAACGGTGCCGCGTGTGACATATTCGCCATTGTCTTTAGTTACCATTACCTATGGACGGTGGGATGGTCCGCCGTTGGACATATACCGTGAAATATGTAGTCGTTACGTACAGTTAACCAACGTTTAGTTACCCTCTTATAAGCGCAGTTACTATGGCCGTTTAAACGGTTAATCTTTAATAAGCGTGGGCATCGGTTTATTGAAGTAAATGTCAGTGAGCTCTGCAGTCTTCGAGATTTTAATGTTATCGTCCCACACGGCTGAGAAATACTAAATGCACCAATAAATAATCCACTGTATATCGACCAACGTTACTTACAATATACGTAATTTGCAGAAAACCCGTTCCCTGTCACTATCCGCCATTTTGAAAGAAAGAACACGCATATCCGAAATCGTGAATTTGCATAAATTTCCACGATCTGGTTGTCAGTAACGGAAAGTTAGATTGAAATTAAAAATTTAATTTAATTATGTCATTATTTCCATTGACAGCCCGCAGTTTGTTAAAGGGCAATAGTGGGATTGTGGTTACCGCTGCAGACAATACAAGTGGGATTAAACGAGAGCGAAATGAAATGTACGAAATGGGAACCATAGGGAAACGATGTTCGCGTTATTAATGTGTAGGAAAATAGACACGGCTTGTGTAATATGCAAATGTAATTATGCAAGCCTTATTGAAATTCATCGTGCAATTTGCAAGTTGCGACAGACGGCGAACGCGGTGTGTTTGCTTTTGAATGCATTAAGCCGCGCGTTCTAAATCTTCGCGGAGCAATGCAAACCTTTTTATGGCTGTGCAAGGCTGAATAGGAAAATATTTACGAATACTTATGGGACCGATTGTATGCTCCGCAATGTATACGCACACTTCGAGAAACATAACCAAAATTATTCATACTTACACCGACCTAAATATCGACCGAAAAATTCTTCCTTCACCGGTAACATAAAAAGCTCCGTTACTTGTGGGATGATCTGTTGAATAAAAAGAAACCGTTGAGTTCAATTCAGAGGAATGTTTGCAGAGAATGAACAATTTCTTTCACGCGGTAACTTGACAGAGCTTCGGCCGACATCCACGAGCAACAAACCGCCGCTGGGCGGACCGCCTCTCCCCGGCTTGATTTACCGCGGCTATGTTTGACGTCTGATCGTATCCGCGAAGAATCCGTTTGACTCGACCGATCCCACACCGTGAACGGTTCTTGCATTTGTTTCTTACATCAGCATTCGCAGCTCGGAGGCATATTCGATGGCGGGACACGCGGCATGAATACAGGAAGTCCTCTGTTCCGGGACAGGCACGCTTGCGTCGAGATTACACGTTCAGTGGAACGTCCGAAGAACCGTTCCGCGGGTTTAACCTACTGAACCTCCTCCCCCCTCCCCTATTCCCGCGATCCCCAGGGCGCCCTCTCGTGTAAACACGCCGGGTCCGTAGTAGTGATGGGCACTATCGACTAATTACTATTTAGTTGCAAGATACTATTGATTATTTAGTCGACTGAAATTTTGCTTTAGTGATTATGTATAGATTATGTCATCAAATTTTCAGCATCATTTATTAGTTCATAGATAGAATTTCAAAAATATAAGTGGTAAACAAGTTATTTTGAACAATTAACGATCTGACTTTATCGGAGAAGTTCAAACGATTAGTTTACAAGGTAATGCATAAGAAAAATATGGAAAAATTACAATTCAAAACAATTGTTATTTTTCGCGATGAAAATAATCACGATCCAGTCAACTGAATTAGTCAATGGTTTAAAAAATTAGTCGACTCACAGTAGTAGTTGGTTACTATCGACTTACTCAATAGTTTTCAGTCGATGGTGCCCATCACTAGTCCGCAGCGAGTAATGGCTTGTCTCGGGATTCGCCCGAAGGAGGATGGACTTTCAAGAAAACTGGCCGCGGCGGATAATGCAACCCACTTAGGCCCGTTGCAGTGATAAATGACCGCAGTATATGTTCTGCAGATAAAACTCCCCTACCCCGGCTATCTTCCGAACACAGAAGTGACCGCCTACGACTACTTACTTGTGTCGGAGAGCTTCTTCGTTTGGTCGGCTGGAGATCCAACGATCGAAGTGTGTACACTAGGGGAAAAAGTGGCGTAAGAGAAAGGTCTCCTACCATTTGGTAAATTTATTTCAAGTACTGAAATAAATGTTAAATCAAATGTTAATTTGGCATAAATTTCTGTAATTCCCAATTCAAGAGGTAGGAGCATTAGTGGGAGGTCCTTCCCCTACGTTACTTTTTCCCCTAGCCTCCCCAAGTCGAGACTTTTGGGTGCTGGATTCGAACCCACGATGATTGAGTTCGTCATATTTCTGGCCTAAGACAATGTCTTCTATCTTGTGCATTCCGATTTCTTCTGTTTCCTTGCTTCTGACGATGTTTTACTCGAGACTCAGCCGCATCTTCGTCACACTCTAAAATAATTTTAAGACAATCGTATTTTGTTAGGACAGTTTAGCCAAAATAACGCAGCTTGCATTAAAATGCCCCAAGAGTTATTAGCTTGGGCAGTGGAGTCCAAGCTGAAGTTTGAATGCGCTTTTCAGTGAAGAATTTTGACTTCTTCACTTTTTTCTTTTTTTTTTTTTTTTGAATTCACGTTTATTGTCAAAGTAGTGTAAGTCCAGTATCGAGGGTAATTTATAATATAGTTTCTATAGTTATAATAACTAACGAGTAGGAATAAATGGACTACACCACTTTCCAAATAAATCCCTTTATAACGTGTAGAACTTTGATAGATAGTTCTCGTTCGTTAAAACGAGGGCCAGTCCAGTTTCCATGGGAACGGTGTATGTATACATACTGCATATGACGCATCGTGAACATGGGGGGGGGGGCACGTCTCTTCCTATTTTGTCGCAAAAATATACCTGACCTTTTTAGCCCTATTGAAACCGAGAAAGCCTGGGACGAGTGTTCCGGTTTACGGCTTAAGCGCCGCTCACAATGCGTTTGTATGGATAAATAATGAAGTATTCTTGCGAAACGACCAGGGCCAGCCAGAACGGGACCGTGCCCTTTACAATGGTCTGCCCACCAGATGTGAACGTTTCCATGTTAAGCCGGGGACTTTCCCGGTTTCTCTCCCCTCTGACCTTTTTTTTTTTTGCGACGTTCGCGAAGCATTCGCTCCGAGAGTGTATCGTATATAACTCAAATTGTTCGTATACTTAAGAGAAACAAGAACCAGAACACGTTTTAATATTATTGAAGCAGCAGAAATTGAAACTGGTCATATTTTAAATTTGTAGTTCCTTAAATTTCGTGATCCAATAAAAAGTGATTAACTGATCTAATTCGTTATCTATCGACTTTATAAAAAAATGTCTGAAATGAAATTTATTGTATTTGGAAAGACTGATCGGATGACGACAACATACAATTACATCTACAAGATAGTACATGTTACCGTCTTGAAAATCAAATGTTTCTTCATATAATTTAACGACGTCTCCAATCGCTGTGACCAGTCAACGTGTCCAGCATTAAATTGTCTAGAGGTTGTAATTGTGTTTCAACTTTCAGGGTGTGGGGCTGGCAGCAGCGGTCCTGGCAGTATGGATGCTAACGGACCAGACATTCCTGATGTCCCTAACTCAAGAACAGCACAATTTCAACGCTGGCCTTTACATCCTCCTCTCCGCTGGGATCCTGATGCTGATCGTGTCCTTTCTGGGCTGTTGCGGCGCCTTTCGTTCGTCCCAGTGCATTCTGGTCGCTTTCTTCAGCTGCCTTCTGGTGGTTATCGTCGCGCAAATCGCGGCCGCAGCGTGGCTGTACAGCAATAGGAATTGCCTCGAGGAGCTGGTCAAGTCTTCCGTGATAAATACCGTTAAGGTATCGACAATTACTCAAGACGATCGCGAACTAAACACTCGCAGTGTGTCCGTTAAGGGAGTTTGCAATTACTCGCGCCACCAGTCTTGTCCATCTTGGGCGTCTATAATTAGTCCATTCGGCTATTTTCTAAACCCGGCTATCTGATCAGACGACTATAATTGCTCCATTCATCTTCTTGAATTAGACACCCGTTGAAGTGTCTGTTCGTTTAGCTTTTTCTTTTTTCACCGTCCTCAACACGCCACACGACTGATAGTTTTATTACAATCACTTAATCCAGTGAATTACACAGCTGTTCGTCGTGGCATTCTCTGTAGAAATGCGGTGACACGTTACATGAAATTAAAATAAATCTGGGAACAGTACCTTTTGTACTACTGATTAAATGTTTTAACGGTTGATTGATCCAAAGCTGAAATAAGTAATGAGTTATTTAATTAAATAACACATGTGAACCGATTCAATTTAATGTACTACACATTGTACAAACCGGTGGAATATTGTAGAAAATATAGAATATATGATTGTTTAAAGTTTAGTACAGCTAAAAGTTTGTTAGTTTAATATGGTTCCTATTTTAATTTACTCCAGTTTCTGTGAGTTAGCACATAAAAATTGTATTCACATACAAATCTGCAATCCAATGATGACCTGTGTTCATTAAAACTTTTTTTTGTTAATTCTAATTTCCATCAATCTGTACAGTTTATATTACCTATAATTTTGTAACACTCTGTATCTTTAGCGAGTAATCATCAATGTAATCTCTTTTTCAGAATAAATACGGCATTGACACCGCTCACACAGGGGCCATAGACGCGTTTCAGTCCGATCTCGGATGTTGTGGCGCCACTGGTCCATCCGACTGGACCGGCAGTAAATACGCCACAAGAGATTTCTCAATTCCTGTGAGCTTAACCGTTTCAGGAGATGTGAACAATATGTACAAAGTACCGGAGTCTTGCTGCAAGGACAAGGAGAGCCCGTACTGCACATTAGCCAGGAATATTAAAGTAGGCAGCGAGGTCAGCCCAGCAATTTACAACGAGGTAATCTCTTTTATTCATAATTGTCTTGTACAAGTGAATTAGATCTCTTTATGAAATTGTATACTGAAAGACAGTAGCACAATACAGAACATGTGTCACTGTACTGGAAGTGGTTAAATCTGTTTTGAAGGAGAAACCTTTATGTGTACAGAAGAGAACAAAGCTGGACATGACTGTCGCAAAGAAATTCAATTACATTTCATGAAGAGTTCTAAAAACAATTCTTGTTCTTTACGAAACCTGATGCAAAGTATAGAGGATGACGGGCCACCAAAATCTCTATCTATAATTCATTGTGTCAGAGAAATATGTTTTGAGATATAACTGCTGCGAATGAATATCCTTAATAAAATACAGATAATTGAACTGTTTCTGATCCACCGACTAATGTAACAGATGAATTGTTCACATTTCATGAAGGATATTCTAAAGACAATTCTTTTCTTTGATGAAACCCTATGCAATGAAGTTTGACAGGCTATCAATTTCGTCTTCCTTCCACATTCTGCATCAGCGTGTACACAAGCCTGTCGAAAGCCGGCTCTGTGCTGAGAACAATTGTCATGACTCACCGGTGGAATCACGCCCGGTTGAACGTGTTAATGCGCCAATCGTCGTGAAAGCCTGGCCTCGATTAAACCTCACAAATCTCTTTCCTCCCGGCAGGGTTGCATAGACAGGCTGATGGACGCATTGAACAGCCACAAGAACATCGTGATAGGCGTCGCCGCTGGGATCGGCATCTTGGAGCTTCTCGGGCTGATCTTCTCCCTTGTGCTATGCTGCACGATCGGTTCGTCCGACAGATACAAAGCTTGAATCGGAACGCGTGGTCCCGGACGCCGTCTTCTAAATCCATCCGTACGTCACATATCGTTGTGTCAGAAACTCTAACTAGCCGGTATCACGATTTGATCTCTGTGTGCCAATTCGAATTAAGTTCCCTGGTATTTCTCACTGTCTCTTGGAGTTCGACTGATCAACGAATTGTCATGCGCATCAACGACGCGGCAAGCGTCGTATAGTGTCAGTATTCTTTAACCCTGTTACCGTTCCAAAACTTTCGGACGGTTGTGTGTATTATGAATCCTGCTCAGGAACGAACAAAAAAAAAAGAACAAATGACAGTTTTCTTTTTTACCGACATATATTTTACATCTCTTTGTAATTTTGCTGTTCGTATTTGCGATATCGTCTGTTTTCCAAGCATTCACTACTGTAACATGATCATTGTGGTTGTATACAGTTCCATCGTATATTGGCATTTATGAGAATTGTAACGAAGACGTTCATTCGGTTCAGCGCCAAAGGGAAGATACGCGTGCATTCACAGTTTTTTTCTTACTGCCAAATGCTCTTTTCGGCTGTGTCTCCTTCCACGCGAAAGACTTACTGCGGACGAGCATTTAGTTTCTTTTTCTTTATTATTTTTTTTTTTTACGGAGTACCTATATGATTTACAATTTCTGTTAGGCCAAAGTAGTAGACCAAACTAACGTTAATATGTTAAGGAGCGAGTGGACAAAGCGAGAGTGAGGGAGAGCATGAGTTTCGCGCGAACAATAAGGATTCGACGAATTTTGTTTGTTTGTTGCAACTGGTTTATTTACCAAAGAACGTTTTATACTGTCTCGAAGTTTCACGTACGTGGTTCATTGTGCACTCTAAACTGCCGATCGATCATTTTTCGTCTTCTGTGAAAACGCAACAAAACAGATTCTATGTAATAATTTGTATTATTAGGTGACGACTTTTTGGAGACATTTTTTACTGTTTCTTTGATGCGATTTTAAGACGCGTGAACAGCTTTGAAACTGATACTACACAAGAATTCACGTACAATCTACAATTGTTCTGTTGCCAATATACCAGTTTCAACGTACGTACATACATACATCTATATAAATATATATATACATACATATTATAGTATCACAAGATGCTCTGAGATGATCGATCTGATAATTAATATTGATGTCCAAATGAGATTATATTAATTGTAAGGACGCTACTAAGCGGTTTTGTCTCTTGTAGCGTTATAGTCTATCCATGTTATCTTAAAAGTAAAAGAAAGCGGTAGACATTTAACAGAGAGGACATAGCTAAAAACAGAAGCATCTAATTTTTATAAGATTCTGGAAATTCGTGTAATCTATTTTATTGGTGTACGACGCTTTGAGGATGTAATATTTTTTTAAGAAACTGTCCCGGCGGACAAAATTATTTAACAGCGATTAATCGGAGCGCTCTCAGAAAAGTTTAAAAAAAAAAAAGAATGTGGAATTTCATGTTGTATTAAAATCGCTGCTATTGGTACATACGAAAAATCTTCACCCATAAGGGGTCTGAAGTGTTTCGGTGTAACGAAAAAGAGCTGCTTTTGGAATAGTTGTGTCTTATAGAAGTGATCGATATATTTGACAATGAATGTTTTATAGATTATCCACGACTATAGCGAATAGAGCAGATGTTTATCAATTGTTCATCTAACATTCATCGTCAAATGATCTAGCGTAGGCTAAAGACAAATTGATCTTTGCGTATATTGTATCTTGGGTGATCAGTATGGTACAAAAAATTGCGGGAATTCTCTTGTTTCGAGTGCGTTTCAAATCAAAATATGCGAAGTAAAGGTCATAGTATCTAGTCTGTAAAAGTTGAGTCCCTTATTTATCAGGTTAATCATTTGTTAGGAATAACATATTGCTTACCAATATCTGAACCCATCAATGAAATGACAAACGGTAAATTGTATTATATACCAGATGATATAAAGATTAAATGGTGAGCAACATGTTAATTGATCGCTTTACTGGAACATTATTTTATGCGTTTCACGTCTTTTGTATGAAAAGTTCAAACACAACACACACTGTTCAGTAAATGTGACGACACATTGTACACTCTCTTTTATTAACCAGGAATTCTTGAACTGATTTATGAATAACTTCTTTTATAAGTGAAAGTGTTCTAATTTAATTATATTCGCGGTCAGTAATATACGTTTGTAATCGTTAACGTTTGAGAAGTTCTGGTTAAGTGTATAGATAATTATCTACACCAGGCGTGGACAAACATTCGCCCATGGAGTCACATAAATAATAACACTAACCTGTGACTGTGACTGCCCCACTTCCAACACATACTAAGTAAGCATATCAACGGTCACCAAGATCCTCTGAGTAGGGACCTCAAAAGTGCCGAAAGTGAGGACAATCAGTATGCGCCCGCACCTCCTGCCCGAAGATGACGATGACGACACAACAGAAGCAAGTGGTGCAGGCTGGTGTTATTGTTTATGTGGTTCCACAGGCGAATGTTTAGTTAGGCCTGATCTACACGTATATATACATATATATATATCTGATGTTATGTATGCAAAAAAAAAATAATGCGATTTAAGAATATAGAAACGCTTATCGAGTAAAAGAGAAGAAAGAAGAGACCAACGAGCAATTTAAAAGATGATGATCCAATCGCTATAATTACGGGCTCTAGAATCTTCAGTCTTTGAGTAACTTTGCGAGTTGCACAGTTATTTTGTCAATTATCATACGTTCGTAACGTAAAATTATAGAAAAGTTTTTTGAATTTACTCGATGTTTGTATGGCGTTTTATTAACGTGCAAATAATTTACACTTGAAAACTGTTGGTTTAGGAGTTAACTCTGGTACATCAATGTTCATTAACCCGGACTCGTTCGAACTACGCGGATTAGATGAAAAACGATCTAAAACATCAGAAACCTTACTAGCCACTTTATGTGGCGCTAACTGAAACCAAATGGTTCCAGAATAAGTTATGGTACCATTATAATACCCTGAAAAGATCAAAGTGAGAATGGAGGACGAAGTCGCATAATCACCAAAATCTGTGCCCCAGGGAGCTCGCAGCCGGACCATCACTGTAGCTGCGGATAGCACTTTATTGGGCGAAACACCTATAATATCATTCTTCGTATCATACATTGAAAACGCAAAAGACGGCAACTGAGTAGAAGCAACTATGGAAGCAGAAACAACAGCTCGATATGGACGAACAGAACGATTCAAAACTAAGCCAATATCACTGGGAACAATATCTTTTGTCATACTACTACAAGTTCCATAAAAGTCTTTCCATAAAACTCTCCATAAAGTCTCGGACTTCGCCGAAATTTCTCCGAAGAGGAAATATCAGGTTCATCAGGGACCACCGCTCGCGTTCTGGGTCATTAATCACCCCTCCCTAATGGTTGACGCTCTCTCCCTCAGGCGTACCACGGATCGTTGCAGCGTGTGCCAAGCGCCTCCGTGACCCGTCGACATGTGTGTTCCGGGGTCACGAATGTTTACCGGCACATGGGGCCTATTTTCGGTAATGCCATACCCTACGACCGGTGCTTCGTTCGTACAGAACTGCCTTCCGGTATACGATGTCCGCGGGGCTCGTTGGGCCGTGGTCCCGCAAAGGCATGCCCTTCATGCTTCCGGGACTCGGTTCGCCAGTATACACCCCGCTGTCCGGAATCGCATTCGGGCCCCTACGCGTTATAATCCATTCAAGGCGGCACGACCAGGCCCCCGAAGGGTTTAATACCTGGAACGGCCATCGCCCCCCTTCCCTCGGGCCCGAATGAGCGCTCCTGGCATCTAAGTATCTTACTTCTGTTCCGGTAGCATCCTGTCGGAGATCCTCCCGGTCCAGTGTGTGACCACGCGTCCTTAATCGCTATCCCGCATGCTGTTCGGTATCGGTGCCCTTTGCCCACGGAACGCCGTCACGGGCTGGTGTTTGAATGTACGCTCGGTGTACGCAAGCCCGTGCCAACGTCCGCGATCGGACTCCCTGATGCCTATCTTAAACTAGATCGAGAACGGAGGGGAATTCAGGCCTATTTGTCCCGTCCTTGGACAAATATTTCCACCCACCCCCTCCACGGGCGGTCTTCGGGTTCCGAGCCCTCACCACCCCCGGGCTACTTCCCGGAACCCACCCGGTCCGTTGTTCTCCGCGAATCCTGTGAGTTTTCGTCACCGTGATCCCTATGGAGGGTACTGGCTCTTAGAGAAGAGTTTTCCGTCGTCCCAGGATCACGGCGGGGACTGAGAGGCTAAATACGGCTGGATTCGACAGGGTTCCCCATCTATCTTTTCCCCCGTGATACCTCTTCACGAGTGGTCTTCGGGGAGCAAGTCGGCAGGTTTACACCCCCTGTCTGCTTTACCCTCCCAACTCGTATCCCATCACCCCGCTTGTGCAAGTCGGATCCGCGTTTATATACTACGTTTCAGAGAACCTGAAGCATCCTGTCCCTTCACCCTTGTAAATTCTCGGTTGGTGAAACCGGGTACCTTCGCGGGTTCGGGGGGGGACTGAGAGGGAGCTTTGTGCCTGGACGAGAGCCACCGAAACTCTCCCCCTACACCCTCCCTCTTCACGTAAGGTCCACATGGATCGAGCTTCGAGACAAACATTAGCCTCACTCTTTCACAATACGTATCCCTATTGTGCTGTGAAGTCAGGTTCCCTTGTGTCGCTAGATTTCCGGTTAAACGCGTGTTTAGTTTCTTATGATCTTTTTTTTTTTCTATCGTTTTAATTATTTGTGTGTTTTTCTTTATCTTTTCTTCTTTATTGTCGCATGTCTTTCTAGCTTCTCATTATATTATGTATATATATTTCTTTACTTACCGTATCTTTCTATTTGTTAATAGTATTCCTTCTCTTCTCCTTAACATTATTTTATTATTATACATGTGTGTGTATTTATTATCGCTTTTCTTCTTTTTCAAAATTATTTTTTCCCGCTACCTGGTTATGACACGCTCACCCCTTCCTCCCTTATCCCACCGAATTCTTTCCTTTCTTTTTT